TTCAACTCCCAGAAGCCTTCACCACCACCTCTGCTGGCCAGGATTTCTGGGAGTTGAAGGCCAAGAACATCTGGAGGGCCACAGTTCGACACCACTGACCTAGAGGCAAAATCCGGAGCTGGAGTCCCGAAGGCAGTTCGTGTGGTTCTGCCAACTCCTGCAATGTTGCTGGAACCAATTGTATTGGCTCTTGCCTTTCCACTGGACCATTTCAGCAACGTGGAGAGGAGGGATCTGCTGCTTGGGTAACAGCCTATCCTCCATGTTACTTTACCCAGGCTTCATGCTCTGGAGAGGACACTCCTCTCTCGAGACTGAAGGATGCCTATGGTATAAGAGATGGGCACCACGTGCAGTTTGGCGCTTTGATCACGCAGCTGTTTTGTGGGCACCCCAGATTCTCTTGCCCTGCCTCCTCTGGTGGGTTCCCACTCAGACAGTGCCCAGAGGAGGCAGAGCTGGTCCACTCAGAGACAGTGCCCAGAGGAGGCAGAGCTGGGAAACTGCCGCTGCCTCTTAGTGGTCGCCTGGCAGAAGAAGCGGGAGCAAAGGGAAGCTGGAGCACCTGTGGAAGAGCTGTGTGTCCAAATCATGTTCGTACCTATCTAATCATTATCCACCGAGGTTCTGGAGATTTAAGGACTGCAGTCCCTCTCCTCCCCCCCCCTTGTTAATTTGTTGAGACGATACCGTGCCTTAACTGAGAACCCTTCGAGAGAAGATTTCCCGATTCTCTTGTGTCAAAGTTTGTGACATGAACAAGCAAAACGCATGGCAAAACAGCTGAGCAGTTTCCTTCATGGATCACAACAATAGCGAGAGACGTTTGGGAGAACTGGGGCAGGATGATGGAGGCACTCTACCGTGTGTGCCTCTGTTCTTCAAGTCCTGTTCTGTGTCCTGGAACCAAGATCAACTGACCTATGGAAAACATTGATTTAGTTGATTGAAGCCTGTGAATGGCTGTTCGTAGGGCAAAAGAGAGGATCAATTTCCCTCTGGATCTTTCTTCCTTTTTTTGTGGACTTTCAACTCTTCCCTGATATGAATTTTAACTTGTGCAAAAGTCTGTGCTAGATTTTTTTTTCATCTGTGGCCTACTCTGATAAATAAGGACTAAATTGTCCAGAAACCACTTTCTCTCTTAGATCCATTTCATTCAATGTTCACCTCAGTCTTCTGGAGCCTTTTCCTTGGGATCAGGATGTATGGGTCTCTGCTGCTCACTCTTTATGCCAAACCTCTTTTACAGCTGAAAAAATACTGCTGTTCTAAGATGATGAGGATCTTTTAAAGCAGATATTTTCACCACTTTCATGTCCCCTTATAATTAGATTGGCCTTTTTAATGTAGATCAGAGAACCCTTTGTTTCCTGGCTTCAAGGTGGGATGTGTATGCACAGAGGGAAGAGTTTGGGCAGCACTGATGAACCAACCGCTGCAGGATTTCAATAAATCTGCTTTTTAAAATGTCAGGAGCCTTCCTGGATTGAGACACAGGAGGGAAGTTAAGAATTGAGCTGCTGTGCAAACGTTGAGTTTTCACCCCCCCACACCCAACTGCCTCGGGCATCAAAATTGTGGCGGTGTCATGAAAAAGCAGCAAAATGTGGTTTCTTTTGTATTTATTCTTCCACAAAGGAACGGGAGAGGAGGCGTTTGCACCTTCTCCTCGCCCAAATGCCAAAGGAACTTTCCTTCGGAGACTTTTTAAAAAGTTCCTTTCCCAAACCGAAGAGGTCCTAATGCCTTGTAGCTGCTGCTGGTGGTGGACTCATTTCTGCACAGCTTCGGGCAGCAAAATGTTTGGGGTCGACCCCCAAGGAAGCTCAGTCGACCAGCAGGGCAATAGAAGGCGTCGCCCTTTGAGGGTGAATAATGGCGGGGGAGGGGGGAGGACAAGGACGTCTTCCTGGCTTCTTCCTCTCCTGCTTCTACCCCAAACTCACTTTCCCAAGCTCCCCTGCGACACCCAGAAGCGGAAAGGAGCCTATCAGATGCCAAAGGGCAGCGAAAGGAAAAGACGAGGCCACTTCTTCCGGGGAGAGGGGATGAAACAGAAAGTGACGCTGAAAAAAAAATGGCAGCCCACCTTTCCTCTCTAGGAATTCACTCCTGTTGACTTAACCCTTAGAAAGGTAATTGGGAGGACCCTTTCCTCTCTGTCACTCCATCAGAGCCCCCCCCAGGAGGGTTGGATTCGGACCCTGAGCCCAACCATCACACGTATTTATACACCAGTTTCTGTGGCCGGCATCTAGCCGGAAAAAAAACACAACAACCATCAGATCTCAGCCGTGAAAGCCTTCGAGAATACATAGAGGAAGTTTGTGTACAAAAAAAGAGCCAGTCTCTCAATACCCCCAGCTTCTTTTCCTTCCTTTTATTTATTTGTCATTTCATTTTTAAAAAGTTTTTGTATCTTAAACTAGTTTACCTCCTTTTGGTGAAAAGGTGACCTGGGGTGTGTACAGGTGTACAAACAGGAAACTACTACTCTCCCTGCCCCCCAAGCTCCCAACTTGATTTTTGAGGCTAAATGGTTTTCCCCAAGTTGCAAACATTTTACAGAGTGAGAACGGGCCTCTGTTTTTAGGACTTAAATATATTTCCCAGTTGCTGAGGTTTTTTTTTTTAAGTTTTATTTGAAATATTAAATTGATACAGAGCAATTTTAGGAGAAAATTAGTATAGTGAGCTTTGCAGGAAGAAGAGGGAGGAAAGGCTGGCGCCATTTCCCAATGTACACATATAAAATTACTGGGCAGCTCAGTGCTTTAGGGCTCAGGCTGCAGAGCCAGAGGTTGGGAGTTCAATTCCCCACTCCTTGATGGAAGCTGGACTCCGTGATCTATAGGGTCCCTTCCAGCTCTTTTGTTTTAAGATAATGATGATGTGGGTGTTCATGTCAAAGATGGATCCTGGTATCTCGCCCTCCACAACATCGGACTTTCTTGGCACTGTGTGTGGAGAGAATGATGTGCCCTCCACCTTCCAAGCATTTAAATGTGTCAAGGAAAATTACAGGCCTGAGCAGAATGGAGTGTGTTAATGACAATCCATAATGATCAGGTGTGTTAAAACTGACTCAGGATGACTCAGCAGAGCTGATGCAACTCAGGGATGATGCAATGTGTGATCTGATTGGTCCTGTATATGTATATATGCGTGAATTGTACAGTCAGTTGTATCTTCTTCCTGCTTGAAGATCACTTCTACATGTTATGCTGCCAGACTGCTGTAAATACACGTTGCTGAAGGAAATGCTGCTGGACTGTGTGTGAGTTATTTCTGGACTGCCTGGACTGCGAATCACTCTGCTAAAACCGCGATTTGCATTAAGAAACGCTGACAAGATGGTTTCTCATCTGCACAAATTAATTTATGAGGACAAATTTTGCTTCTTTCACAGAAGCTCTTCCCGCACTGTGGGCATTTAAAGGGTTTCTGTGAAGAATCCAGAAAGGAGAGGGTTAGCTCATACCCTCATGTCTGTGGTCTGTAGTGTGGAAGCTGTGGAAACCTTGGGAGTATTAGGAGCCCTTCTCCCTGGATTCTCATGGAACCCAACTCAGTGGCTACTGAGCTATCAGCGGAGTTACTCTCGCAGAAGTTACCAGTTCACCAGTTGGAAAAGAACACCATTGGGTTGAAAGTATGGAGTCATCCAGTGAGGGGATGATGGGATATAAGGAGAGACAGAAAAATGGTTCATTTCAGCAGTAGCTTTGAGAAGCTTCATAGACTTCCTGTCTGCTTGCTTTGATGTCTAATAACAGCCCGTTATTCTGCCGGACTCTGCACATGCACTGAAACTAGACTACTTAGCAACAATACCAGGGACATTGGCAACTCTTTGGTAGCAAGTCCCAAACTTCAAGACCCTATTCAAATCAAGCTTTTTTTTAACTCAGAAGAAATTGGAGGGGTGGGTGGGTTCCAAGTCGACACACGCACACACCCCAAATTGAACTAAGTCGACCCACCGGTGTGACTTAAGTCTGACTTGACAGCAAGTCCTGAAACTTGAGTCTCCATTCCTGAAGTAGAGATTAACATAGTTTTTATTATTTTCTGTGGGCCTGACTCTGAACTGCCTAAGTCTCTGAATGAATCTTCTTTTGCTTTTTAAAGCAGAACACTTACAATTCCTTTTAAGCATGTTTCTCTTTTTTAAATATCTTTGACACAAATAATACGAGCTTACAGTTGTGTTTTCACTCAGCCAGACCAAGGGGTTGGAGGTACTAAAGAACAGTGGCTTGCACTCACAAGTGTTGAGTACTTTGTGGGTGTTTAGTATTTTCTACCTCGCAAGGTCGTTTTGCAGCCGTGAGCAGCAACCTCAAAGTTTTTGCCTCTCCCTGGAGCACCACAGGAGCCAGTTGGCGCAAGGGTGTTGGCAGAAGGGTCTCACAGGAAACACTCCCCGATCACTAGGGCACTGAACCAAACTGGCAAGCACCCACACACCCCAGGTTCAGCTAGGGTAGTGTGACTCAGTGGTCAGGGGATCCCCTCTTTGTGTTGGGCCGGTATCCTTCACGCTTTCACACGTGTATGGATTTTCATATGGGAGGCAAGGTTTGCCCTCTGACTGAAGCTCTTTTCACACTCCAAGCATTTAAACGGTTTCTCTCCTGGGTAGTGTGACTCAGTGGTCAGGGGATCCCCTCTTTGTGCTGGGCCGGTATCCTTCACGCTTTCACACGTGTATGGATTTTCATATGGGAGGCAAGGTTTGCCCTCTGACTGAAGCTCTTTTCACACTCTAAGCATTTAAACGGTTTCTCTCCCCTGTGGCTTCTCACATGGCGAACAAGGTGTGTGTTCCGACTGAAGCTCTTCCCACATTCCAGGCATTTAAAAGGCTTCTCCCCTGTGTGGATCCGTGTATGCGAAGCGAGGGTTGCCTTATGCCTAAAACTCTTCCCGCATTCCAAGCACACAAAAGGTCTGTCCTCCGTATGGATCCTCCTGTGGTTAGCAAGGACCGTGCACTGATTGAAGCTCTTCCCGCATTCCAAGCATGTATATGGTTTCTCCCCTGTATGGATTCTCATATGGTTGGCAAGGGTTGACTTATGACTGAACCTCTTTCCACACTGCAAGCATCGAAAAGGTTTCTCTCCTGTATGGATTCTCTTGTGTTCAATGAGGGCAGAATTGTAACTGAAGCTTTTCCCACATTCAAAGCACTGAAATCTTTTCTCCTTCATTTGAATTCGCTCATGGGAAGCAATGGGTGTGCTCTGACTAAAGCCCTTTTCATGACCCAAGCATTCAAATGTTCCCGTATCTGTTTCGGGAAATGACTTTTTTAAACAATCCCAGTGGTATTCTGAGCAGTCCAACTGTTTCCCCCCTATCTGGGTTTTCCAGTGAGCATTTGGGCTGCCTTGAAAGCTGAAGCTTTTCTCACACGCCAAGCACTTACAGCTGTCATGGCTCTGATCCGTTTCTTCTTCACATGGCGCTCCATGAACATTTTCCTTCGGAGAAACAAAGGATCTTCTCCCCTTCTCCTTGCTTTCTGTTTTTCTCCTCTGGGGTTTCTCCTCCTCCTTGGTAATTTTTTCTAAGATCACCTGATGTGGTTCTTCTGTGAACCTCCCTTTTTTCAAACCAGCAGCTAAAAGGAAAAAACAACCACACAACTCAGCTTTATTGAAAATCTACAATCAAATCTCAAGCCACTGCCTATTTTCAAACACCCATTGTATTTTAAGATGTATTGATTATTTTGTTCTATTTTTTAGTTTTCCGTTATGCTGTTGTGTTATGATTAATGTTGTTATTTCCATGTTCTAAACCACCCAGAGTGGCCTTTGGGCAGATGGGCGGTATAAAAATAATAAAAATCAATCAATCAATCAAATTCACAGTGAAACAAATCTGACTATCTGAAAGCTGCTTTCTTAGCTGCTTCTTAGTTCCTGAAAAAAGCAAACCTGGCTATCTTTCTGAAAAAAGCTGTAGCAGCACAAGAAAGAAAGCTTACCCAGAGACACCATGTTAGCAACATTCTCCTCCATGACTTCCCAGAGCAGAGCCCTTTGGCCTGGATCCAGCAGTGTCCACTCCTCCTCTGTGAAGGACACAGCCACGTCCTCAAGAGTGACGGGATCCTGGAGGAAAAGGAAACTTTGTTTTTTTAATGACATTACTAAAAAGAATGACGTCGATGACATGGGTGAGGGACACACAGTACAAGATTCAACCGTTCACTTTTCATAGTGCCAGCCTTCCGAGTGATGTTTGACAGAAGCCAAGAGAAAGGGAGAAATTCTTTTAGGATCTTTTACCCTGGAGTAAAAGGAAACGTCTTTTAAAAATGAAATTCCAGAAGAAAATGGCTTCAATGAGATAACTAAGGTTACAGTACAGGATTCAGAGAATTGTAGGATAGGGAGAAGGACCGAAGCAGCCCCATCTCCCCATTCCTTTTCCCTCTACCTGTTCTGGCTGCCCAGGCACTGTTTCTATTCCTCCACGAAGAAGAGATGAGGCAGGATCTGTCCCCAGCGTGGTTCCAGGATCTGCAAGGGTGACCAAAGGGTGGGAAGGTGGTTATTCTTCAAAAATATTTAATTCCTTAT